CCCCAAAACCCCAAAACCCCAAAACCCCAAAACCCCAAAACCCCTTTTATTTTCGCTATATTTTCGAGAATAAATAAAATTTCGAAGAAATGGCAGCTGTCCCAATAAGCTCATCACTGGCGAGTACTCAGATGACCAATACCTCACCTAGTAAGCAGATGTATAGTTTCTCAAAGAGTAACAGGTTCTCCCAGTCAAAGAAGGGCCAGTGCCAGGAAGTAGGGTATACCTTACCCTCTACTTTTAGCAAACGGTCTTCTTCTTTTGGTCACGGCCCCAAGCTGGATGAGAATTTTGGAAAGGTAAGCACAAAGCTTTGTACCAAGTTAGAAATGCTCTAATTCCTATGTTTTAGAGTTTTGTACCTCCTCCAGGAGCATATAATACTATTCATTCTGATTTTTCAAGGCTCAAACCTCATCTTCCAAGTTTCTCATTTGGAGCAGGAAGAGGGGCATATGAGAAGACTTCAATCAGAGATGTGAAGGCCAGGGATAATCCTGGGCCTGGCCAATATGTAGTTCCAAGTTCTTTTACTCCTAATACTAAGGATAAAAGTTACTCTCTGAAAGGAAGAGGTAAATCAATGCAGGATTTAATGATACTTAAAAAAAAAGAGTTGCCAGGCCCAGGCCAGTATTCTCCTAAAACTACATTGAATAAGGATGGGGTATATATCTTCTCTCATATGAAAAACACTGGCTCTCTGACCTTCAGACCATCGGAAAGATTCAAATCAATCAGAAGCTCACTCCCTGGACCTGGTCAATACAAGACTCCTTCAAGCATCAGCACAAAGGGGAAACATTTCCTCTCTACTTTCAAAAACACTGGTGTTGGTCTCTTCGGTCACGGAAGAAGAGACAATGAACTTCTAAAACCCTCCAACACTCCAGGTCCTGGATGGTACGATCTCCCCTCAGAACTCGGCTACACCTCAAAACATCTCATAAAGTAAAACATCCCCCTATAACCTCTAGTCTCGCTACAGCCAAGCTCAAAAAACTCCGTTCAAAAAATTCCAAAAATTTTAAAACAAAGTAAAAATCTCAAATTTTCCAAATTTTAATTATTTTAATGGGGTTTTGGGGTTTTGGGGTTTTGGGGTTTTGGGG